GTCCTGGCGCTTCTTCTGATCGGTTTGATGCTTGGATTGCAGAGCTCTTGGGAGCGCCGCCGTTTGCTCTGCCCCGCACTCCTGCTGCGAGCGCCCAGGGATGGCCTGCTTTTAAGCATAAATCTTGCTGCCCTCTTCTTGCGCTCTGGCAGCACCGTACTCAAAGGCCGGGGGGTTGCGTGGTCTTAGAGTGAGAAAAGAGATTTTCTGATTTAGATTAGGGAAGGAAAAGCTGACGGGCTCTCCCCTCCCTTAAATTTCCTCTTATGAAAGACCAAAACACCTCTCGCACTAATTGTACTTTGTCTTGCCCTTTTCACAGAATCTTCCAAATCGTGGCTCTTCCTTTGGTTTCTCAGTATTTAATTTAATGAATGCGATCATGGGAAGTGGCATACTTGGCTTATCCTATGCTATGGCCAACACGGGGATCATGGGGTTTAGGTAAGTTCTCGGTTTTTATGTACACTTACTTTTAACCTCAGCTTGTAGTTTTAACTGGAACAAAACTTGATTACTAAGGCTCCTGTGCAAAAACTGAGGAAGAAATAAATAGCTGGTGCTTTTCAGCGTTGTTGAATAAGATCTTCCTCCTTTGGTTTAGTCATTCAAATCTGGCCTAACCTAAGTACTGCTCAGAAATTGCATTAAATTGCCACATGGTGGCAATTTCTTGGCCATTACTCCTGATAGGTTGATATTTACATTTTAAAGCTGCTCTCTCCTTTAGTTCCAGAAATGGGCCTTCTGGAGTAGGATGGCTCCATATCTGAAAAATGGGAATCAGCTTGTGGTTTTGTTTGCACTTCTGCTTGTTGTACATACTAACCTATGGATAACGGGGCCAAAGTCACCAGAATTGTCGCTTTTACCATTTTCTAAGCATTAGATTAACTTAGTTAGAAGATACATATTTGTCTGTGTACAGACACTCCGATGTTTATGTCCTCTTTGTAATTGATGTATCGGGTCTTTACCCTGTATAGTATGCGATATGCTTTGGTAGACAATATAAGAAGCAGAGGAACTTAGCAAGTATTGGGAAGGTCAGAGACCATATGAACCATAGTCAGCAGACATAGGCAATAAAATGAGGAAATCCTGTCTTGTGGTAGCTTACTTCTTGGAAAAGTAGCATTCTTAAAGACAGAAAGTGCATTGTACTCTAAAAGTGCCTTAATCGTAAATATTTTGTGGTTTTTAGTATCTTGTTGCTGATTGTTGCCACCCTTGCTTCTTACTCGGTATTTCTTCTGCTCAGTATGTGCACTCAGACTGGTAAGTGAAAAGGATTTATCTAACGCTGATCTCTGAAATGCTTCCTCACCTATATCGCAAAGACATGACCCAGTATAATTAGAAACAGCATGTTAACGGATAGCTGTGTCTGATTCAGTGATGTTGAAATATTTAACATTTTTAATGATTACTGTTTGCCATTCAAAAATACAATTTTGAAACTGTTTATGAAAGGTATAATGCCAGACTGACTGGTTTCTAGATTTCCAGTTTTACGTTTTTCAAAATGCCTCTCAGCTTTCCAGAAAGATAGATCCTGTGTTTCTGTAGCAAAATCATTTTGGTGCTGGCTGGACCGCTCTACTTCAGTGTGTACTGTTGCTTTCAGTGGACTTTCATTCTTCTACTTGTAAAATATATTTTGTACGGTTTGAAATGGACACCTTTCAGGTTTTGTAATCATATTGGGTATTCATAATTCTCATGGCACTTCACAGATGCGGGTATTTACAGTATCTTTGATACTGAATGAGAAGTCGCATTGCAGTCCTTGGAAATTACACTGCTTTGAGAATGTTCAAACAGTGGATTCTAATATCTGCAATCTGTTCCGCTAATGTTTTAATTCTTGCTGCTTTTAGTTGTTACTGAAACAACCGACTAGTTCCTTGAGTTCTTGTACCCAAAGATCGTGATATAGCCGG